CATCTTCCAGTTGAATCCTTAATAATACATCCAAGCGTTTAAAAGTGAATGTATTCAGTCGAGAAAAAACAATGACGCAAAATACTATACACATGTGACCCGAAAACTAAATGTAAACCGATCGGTCGAAGGTTATTAATTACTTATAGTTATAAATATGATTATTTAACGAGATAATGAAAGTTGTTGAATAGCCGAGTGACATCGTAGATCCCATGTTTAAGTGTAAAAGTAGTTTGATTTACACACTAATTTTATAACTTACGATAGTATTTCAGAATTTGTTTTTCATGATCCTAAGTATATTTATGTGCTTAAGACAATTGTGTGATTTAAATTTAATGTATCTGGTATTGTTTATTACATTATTATAAGTTCAAATTATTAAGTTCACGACTCGCGTTGTATTACCTACCCTAAAACAAATTTTCCTAAATTTACTTTAATATTTTTGTCTACTATAAAAAAAAACTAGGAAGTATATCAAAACAATAATCACACCTGTACTAAAACACACAAAAAAAACCATTAAGGTTACATTAAATAAATTATTTATTCGTTATAATATCTATGGAATAATACACTATACTGGGTGATTTTTTTTATCAAACAACACTCATATTCAAAAAGTGTAAATTTTTTTGAAGTCTTTTTTACATAGTTTCAAGTCACCTTAAAAACAACGTTTATATTAAAAAAATTATTTTTTTAATTATTTTTTATCCTTATAATTTTTAAGTTTTTTACTTTTTTGAATGACAACATAGGGTTTTAATCTTATATTTAAAGTAGAATATTTTCTTAGTAGTTTTGATACATGAAAATTGAATTTGGGGCGAGTAGTTTATGAGGTATAAGTATTTAAAGTTTAGACGAGCGGTGAAGTGGACAAACATTTCGCGGGGTAACCCCGAACCACTCCACTCCGCTCGTCTAAACTTTAAATACTTATAACTCATAAACTACTCACCCCAAATTCAATTTTCATGTATCAAAATCTAAGAAAAATTATTCTACTTTAGAATATAAAATTAAAACCCTATGTTGTCATTCAAAAAAGTAAAAACTTAAAAAATTATAAGGATAAAAAATATTTAAAATATAATTTTTTAATCAAAACGTTGTTTTATAAGCGGACTGAAACTATGTAAAAAATATCTTCAAAAAAATTTACACTTTTTAAAATAATGAGTGTTGTTTGATAAAAGAATCACCCGGTATCTTGAGTAAACTTGTAAAATGAATGTAGGTACCAGGTAAGCTCATACTTGGGTAACGAACCAAACGAAAATAAAACATATTACTCAATACAATAGAATACGTAGTTTGTATTTTTCGACTTTTTGTCCAACTTTTTTCAAAATTTACTTTTAAACAGATTACCTTGTTATACATATTATATAACGTGTATGTATTGTATGTTTACAGACGATCAACAGACACATTGCGAGTCGTACGAATACCAGGCGTACCTCTTGGGACATTTACACAACTTGTGCTGTACGTGCCAATAAAAATGAAATCAATAAATTCTGTGTTTGTTTACATATCGTTAGCAATTTCGTTATGTTCACGCAATGTTTCCACGTACTGCGGAAATGATGAACAGATCGAAGATCTACAAACGGCGTTAATTACACAGGAATCCATTTACACGGCATTGACAACACTGAGCGCACTACCGGTAACCGGTGCGACGTTAGGGTTAGCGCAAGTGATGCTGTCCGCTCGGTTTACTTTGCATTTGCAAGAAGCATTTGATGAAATGGAGAATTCATTTATAAGGATCATGAAGACTACAGAAAGTGTTCAGAAATCTTGGAATTGTCAAAAACAGCAACCACAGTCATGAAGTCAACTAGTTTGGGTTCTCTCTGACTTCACTGATACCGGGTATCTGTTTTGGCATTTTTGATTCCGAGGTTATATACATCGATATCTGCTATGGTAATTATAAGACAAAGATTAGAATCTTGGCAAAATTAAGGTTGCAAAAATGCTACAACAAGAGATTGTAATTTATAGGTGAATCAGTAAATGTATATTAATAATATGATTTAAATATGATTTAATTGTAAACGATAATAATACCTATGTATTGGTCTTATAGTAAAATAAATATTCTAAATTATACCGTATTATGTTTGATTTCATTTATTAAATAACTATCTCTGTGAGAAGTTGATGGATCTATTTTTTGCGTTTATATTTTTATCTAGTTAATGTATAAATGTACTATTTGTAGGCAGTTGTGACCAAATTGGTTACTACGAGTAATAACTTAAACACAAGTAGATATTGTATATAATAGTTTTATTTACACAGTTTTTAAACACAGACCTTTAATATGAGTAATAAGACTATTTTTCTAAGTATAATATGTAAAAGAGTTATAAGAGTGCTACCGTTAATCCTTGTTACAAAGTCATTAACTTATGAGCTACCTAACTAACTGATCAGATTTCCCTTTTATATCCAAAGGTGGTGTGATTTGCTTATGTGCAAAATTAGCATTATGGTGTAGTAAGCAAGTTACTACGTAATAATACCAATTTCATTAGTGCATAGTTATTATAATATACGATAGACCGGCATAACCAGATATTAAGGACATTAGGGTTCAAAAGTAGGCGGTTGTAATATTTTACAGGAACACTGAGCACAACAACGAAATCCAAATAAAGAGAGTAAGTGGTTACTTTTATAATAATCATAGGGACACGCTGAGTGCACACTTGCCAAGTTCAAACGGAAAAGAGTAAAATGATTATTTTAATAGTAATCATATTTTGGTAATGCGTTCAGTCGTAAATGCGTAGGCTGGAATAATGACCACGAAAATCACATCCTTGAGAGCCTTGATACAGTATCTATAGGCGAGGGGCACGGGGAACTTCATATATAAGTTAGCCCGAATAGGCCTGTTTTCAGACGTGTACTACCACCCATTGGAGCAAGCACCTTCACGCCACTCTGTATAACAATATTTGGACTTAGTAAAATTATTGAGTGTATAATAAAATTCACAATTATACAACAACTGTTTATATTATTTAATCATCAACCACGACTACATCATCAGAAAAAGTGTCTGCTACCTGCAACGTTAACGTACTGGTAGCCACTTGTCTATTATTTATACTACAATAGTAGGCACCAAGCGTACCAGCACGTTACAATGATGTTATTTATATAATAAAAATATGGTAATCCAATGGTCGCATCATGTGAGAGACTCATAGTTGAGCTGATCATTACAAAGTGTTGGGAAAAGATAACCATAATTCATTCAACATTTATCTAGATTATAAGATAAAATATAACCTCATTTTTTTTTTTATCAAAATAAAAATACACATACAATACATTTATCTAGATACAAAAATAGATAATTTGTTTTTAAATTATTATAAACTAGCTGATCCCGTGCCCTTCGTCGCCCGTTAAATGGATCAACTCAATACTACCTACTCAAACTTTGTTCAATTCATTAACGTGTATGGTGTTCAAAATTTATCTTATCTTTCCCGTTGCCCTGAATAAAAATTCTGAATCGCAGCAGTACATTATCAGGTAGGCATCTACCTGCGGTAGATCGCGGACCCCGTGCTGTTTGAACGGAAGTGTATGATTTAACTCTAAAGTATCAAAGTTATACCAAGTTTATTTTGATGTAATACTGTGGATTAATATAATAAATTTGGTTGCTCGTAAAAAATCGCAACTCTTAAAAAAATATGATTGTTGAACTCCTTTTGGGTGTAATTTTCTGCGGTAAGTGCAACTCTGCCACCCTGGTAAGCATTGTTAAATAATTCGATTTGATGCAAGCTTGTACCTGATCTGCCCGAATAACCAATGGCAACCAATAAATAAATGCTAATTTCTAATGTAGACTGTAACCAATGGCAACTATAAATAAATAAAAATAAAATTTCCAATTTCTATCGTGAATCTCAATGTCCCTGTTTCAGCACCTATTTAAAATGCGAATTTTGGCAAATCCTTTCTTAGCGCACGTCTATATTATAATAGCTATCTGTATGCCAAATTTCAGCCAGATCCGTCCAATGGTTTGAGCTTTGCGTTGATAGCAGTCAATCAGCTTACTGTTTTTTATATACAGATATGGTTGCCATGGTAATATGGACACACACATACACACACACACACACTGACATACATTCATTTTTATATATTATATAGATTGATATGAAATCTTGGTAACCTTAGTAACCATGGCAACCTTGGTAACCATGGTAACATGGACACACAGACACACAGACACACTGACACACTGACTACATTCATTTTATATATATAGATAGATAATGTAATTTATTAGTATTTACTAATAAGGTAATTTGTATTAATTATTAAATCCTTAATGCCATTTCTCAACTAAAATAATATACAATTTTAATTTTTAATGCAACTTGAATAAAATCAAATAAAAATATAAACTAACAATATTTCAGTAAACATTTCTGTTTTTAACTATAATAATATTGGAATTCGGAATCACTACTAGGCTCTCAAAAAATATTGGCTATTTCAGTATTTAAAAATATTCTTATTATTATATTATTTATCTAGATAAATGACCACAGATAACCATTATATTTATCTATATGAGATAATTAGATGATTTAATTATTTTTATCTATATCAGATAATTAAAGAAATAATTTTATCTAGATAATTCAAAACACTGGTTTTGGTATATATAATTACAATAGTCAGTACAAAACGTATATCCGTGTTATCATTTCATATTAGTATATATACTATCAAGTGCAGATTTTGTGTCACGGCTTGGCTGAGAAACAGCTTGACCGATTTGCCTTATTTTTTTTTATTTTTTTTCTATATTGTCAGGACAAGGTTTCTATGAAGAATTTTAGGGAAATCCAACGGAAGAGTAGTAAATGTCGGTGTGTACTAGTTGCGGTAATATCAAAATTACATACTAGTTGCGGTCACCCCTCAAAAAGGTTACATATCAGTTGCGGTCACTCAAATAATAAAAACTAAATATACTAAATAATATAATATAATATAGTTTATATAATAATTAAATATGAAATTAATATTTCATTTATTTATTTAATTTAGAAAAATGCATTAATCAACATCTTTCTTCCCATTTATATCGAAAAGATAACAGACTTAGGACTGTGTACACTATTATTTATTGTGTACGTATGGTTAAACATGTTGATACTTATGTTTAAATTACGTGGTTAAACTTGCGTCAAAATAAAGTATATAATATGTATAATAATAATAATAATAATAATAATTTAAAATTTTAAAATTTTGTAGGTATAAATTTAAAGGAAATCGATTTTAGACATTCAACCCGATTTATTTCGCCTTCTTCATAATATTGTATTTGTTGAGCTAAAAAATGCTCTTTTTCTGTTGAGATTTTATTAACACGACTGGTTTTTGTACAATTCATTTTTAAATAGCCATTCGTTTGAATTTCATTTAAAGCGTCAATAAATATACAAATATTAGGGTGAGTGTGGTAAGACATGTTATTGAGCTTTGAATGAAAACTTTCGCATGCATTGGTTGTTCGTGTTATTTAAGACGAACATTCAGCCCATAATGACGGTGGATATCTCGAATCTTCCCTTACATACACTTCTAAAATATAGTCTGTAAATGCAGTCAATTTTGAATAATTAGGCGGAAGAAGAGCCATAATATCTGTGACAAATCAATCATTAACTTCATCTGGTCGTAGAAACGGAAGTCCGAAAAAAAGTTTCAAATATTCGGACATTTCACCGGGTTTCATATATGGTTTTGCTAGACCTAATGACTGCATTTTGTGAAACCATGCTTGCCCTAGGTGAAAACGGCATGCTTTCAAATTTGTAGTGGGCCACACATCTTTAATTCCTGTGTGGATAGCCTGTTCGAAGTCACTGAAAACTCTATTTGGGATATAGTCACATAAATGATTTTTGAGATGATCTAATACAGTCTTGTACGCATTATGACATTTACTAGGCAACAACGAAAAAAACAATGGTATGTATGAGCTATTTTTAAATCCATGAATTACAAAAAGTTGCTTAAAAGGAAAAAGACAACTTGAAAAAGTACCATTTATAAAAATTGATTCACATTGCATAAGAAAATCAAGGTTCATCTGAGTTGTAAAACACACTTTATTGTTCTGGACATCATTTATAAAAATCCATTTTTCATTATTTTTCGTCTGTATTTTATTAATTACGTCAGGAAGCGTCGCATGCAATTGTGGAAAGTCACGTTTTAACTTCGGATAAATATTCATTCGTGCAGTATGTATATTTTTCCTAATCAAAGTAATATCATTTGAGTCGAGTACACTTAGTACTGTACTTAACATCTCAGAATGATTATGTGTTGTATTTTGTTCACAAATGGCACCATGAACATCGTATTTTATAGCCGCATTACATGTTTTTTTACAACATACCCACCGTTGTACGTCATTCGCTAATGTACGATAAAATCAAAATTTATAATTATTAACGACCCGTGATGGTTTTAATTTTTCACTCAACATATTTTTTGAATTCATTTTTATGTTTTACAGTATCAAAAGACGTAGGCACAATGAAAGCAATATTCGAAACTATGATCGGAGTATACAATTTAATCTATTTTATTTATAAACTTTACAGATAAGTAGTGGTGTTCCCACATATATACGCTGTGTGCATTATATCAAAAAAAAAATGTTTATCGTATTATATAAATTTCGCCTGGAATTGGAGTATAATAAAGCTATGACCAAAACTAAGATATTACCTAAATTGGCGTGACCGCAACTAGTATGCAGCCGGAAAT